ATGTTGGGACCAATTCACAAAGCTTTGATACAAGAATAATAATCTTTACTTTCCCCATGTGACAGACATCTTCAAATGCTGTTGGACTGAAAATAACTGGCACTTTTTGTAAAACAGAAGTTAAGGTATGTACCTGCCCGTCAGCAATTTTTTTGCTTTTGCAGCTCAGTGTACAGACCCAACATGACGAGATGAAGTAAATCCAGAGAGTTGCTGCTTTCCAGCCAGCCAATCAAGTGCCGAAGACACGGAACCCCTAAGAAGACCAGGAGAAGATGGCAGTGCCGGTGACTAAGGGCAGAGTGGACAGCACATCGCTGGAGGGGATAATTTTCAAGGGAAGTTGGACATAACGTGCCAATATGCTTTGCATAGTACTATATTATGGCAAACATTACCACTTAACTTCTGTTTTACAAAAAGTGCCAATTATTTTCAGTACGACGGGATTTGAAGATTTCTTTTTTTTTTTAACAACAGGTAAGGATTTGAAAATTTCTATCACATAGGGTAAAAAAAAAAAAAGATTATTATTCTTGTATCAAAGCTTTGTGAATTGGTCCCAACATATATTGCCAATTGACTTGATAATACTGCCAAAGCTTGCTGGAGTATAAAGCTGGCCATACACCTATAGATTACCTGCAGCTTTTCTATGGTCAGATGGAAAAAGTGCAACAGATTCCTCCATCTACGCTAAACTTTGTGGATGGAGGACTCTCCCGCTGGGCCAAGCTTCAGTATCTTGCTAGTCGGCCCCGCTGGCTCTCAAAATACCTGAACACTCTGATTGGATGCAGGCATTGTTCAGGTATTTTGAGAGCCAGCGAGGCCGACTAGCAAGATACTGAAGCTTGGCCCAGCGGGAGAGTCCTCCATCCACACAATGTATAGAAACTTGCATGTGGCTGCCATGTTCTCTGGTTATTTACCATAATGTGTCAACATTATTGTGCTGCTGAAATCAAGCTCAAACTATACAGTAGAGATGTGTATATTACACGGAGGGGTTTTTTGGGGTCCTCCGTCATATATTCAATTGCACAAGGTATACATAAAATGACTGCTTTTGCTTTACAGTAACATGAAGTATTTGGGTCCCACATCTTTATGTTTATGGACAGCATTAAGGTTTATGTAAACTCTAACAATGAACTTATTTACTCCCTTTTTGTTCTGTTCAATCTACCATTGAGAATGTTTTGTCATATCTGTTTGATAGATGTAGAAATACTGCCTGATTTGGGCAGAAATCTTGTGTGCTTATAACTTCCTGAGCTCTCTGCCTGTGCACAAGAAAGAGTTATAGAGATGAGGTGGGGGGATTAAGAGAGGTCTGTGTACTTTGTAATCCATCAGAAATTAAGTAGGCACGGCTGACACCACGTGCTTTGGAAATTAGATCCAAAAATCTGTGTTGGTCATGTCTAAAAAAATTAGGAGTAATTCAAGTAGATCCCATTGCACTCCTGACCAGATATAACCTAAGATAATGGATGGGTGCTGAGATGACAGCAGATGCCTCTGCACATCATTATCAAGTGGTAGAAAAATCACTCTAACTCCAATAAGAATTTCAGTCAATGTTCTTTATTGACAAACTAAATAAAGTGTATTTGCCTGAAGAACGGACCTATACAGTTCTGAAACGTTGCTATACGATATGACAATTCTTTTGTCAATAAAGAACATTGACTGAAATTCTTATTGGAGTGCGAGTGACTTCCTACTATGTGATAGGAAATAAGGAGCACACTATGCTTCTGGCATGCTTTTTCTGCACTTGTAGAGTGTTTAAAAGGGATACAACATGGGGAAATGTGCACATATTCCAGAAATGTGCTACTTTTTTTGTCTTGACATACGCTTTAAGCCACATACAGACAGTGAGTCCAATGTGGTGTAAAGATGGGAATAATTGAATCCTGTATGAAGGGTAAAAAAAAAAGGGTATCTCACCACTGTGTTATGGATTGGAGAGTTTAAAAGATTCCCTATTGTTCCCTCCTGATGGTGGAGCTGTGCATCCCTGCATATTTTTCTTGGCAGTCACAAAACAGATCAACAACACAAATATCTCCAACGGGTTATGCTGTCTTGTTTAATTACCTCAACATATAGATTTGTGTGTCACCAATCTCTCCAGTAACTGATGTTCTAGAAATGGTGATGCCTTTGTTACTTGATCAAATGAGATAAGATAATACAGGAGCCAAAAGGACTCAAAATGGAACCAAAGTTGTTTTAGTAAGCTACAACTTTTAGACCAAGCATATCTCAGGAACAGATAAAACCTAAGAGCATCAGTGATAAAACACAAGCATATATTATTGGGGCACAAATAACTCCAGGACAAAGGATATATTCTGCAATCCAATAGCACATGACGACAGCAGGGTGATTAATTAAACTATATCATGTAAACTAAACAAAGTTATATATAGTTTCGTTTACTACAAAGACTTATAGTGGAGGAGTAAACACCCCCCCCCCCTGCCACGCAGGCTCCTTCAATCTGTGCGACTGGTACTCTGAAGAATCCCCTCTAAGGCTCTCCAGGCTACATTTGCCCGCTTTCCTCCTCACATGCAATGCAGGACTAAAAGTAATGCATTATATGCGATAGGGCTGCAACTAATAATTATTTTCATAATCGATTAGTTGGCTGATTATTTTGTCACTTGATCGGATAAAATAATTTAAAAAAAATTCAACAAATACTATCCATAATTTACAAAAAAAAAAAAAATACACAAATCCAGTGATACACACAAAGATTACTGCAGATTACAGGACAGTTTTTTGCAATTGCACTGGAACGCACATCATTGCGATACTGTGCGTTTCAGTGCGGGCAATCACATTGTGGGTGGGAGGCGCGCTTGGAGTGCTATTGAAATTAATGGTACTGCAAAGCACCTCCCGCAGCAGGATTTGTCAGGCCGAAACCAAAAATGACTTTTTTCCCCACTTTCTATATTTTTTTAAAAATAATTGTATTGTAAGCACCTGGCACAAACGTCTTCAGCCAGGGAATGGCAGCTGCCAGTGCCAAGATTCTGCAGACAGCAGCTGAATGCAAGTACAGTAGGTAGTGGGCTGCTATTGGCCATTTCAAATTGCAATAGCCAATAGCAGGCTGGATATTGCACCTGCCCACTGCTTGCTGTGCCCTCCTCCCAGCGTGGAGGAGAGAGCTAGAGGATCCAACCAACTAATAGATAATGAGAATAGTTGACAACTATTCTCATCATTGATTAATCGATTCGTAGATTGCAGCCCTAGTATGCGATGATACTAAGGGACTGGCAACAGCCTGGAGCATCTGAGAGAAGTGGAGATTGCCGGAGCAAAGTAATACAGCCTCTTTTTTAACCCTCTAGTTAGGCTCCATTCACATCTCTTCAATGCACAAGCGCATGCATTCCTGCTTTGCATAAGATGACGTCACACTGTTAGGTGCACTGTGGTGCTATTTTTTTCTCAATGGAACCCCAACAAACCTAGCTATCACAAATGCATTGCACCACAGCGCATGGTAACTTATTGCCACATGTGTGGGGTGCAATGCGATTTTAGAAAAAAAGGTAATTTGCTTCTTTTAGTGTGATATAGATGTGGTAAGCAGCCTATTCAAATGAATGGGCTGCCCTACGCAACACAAAGCAATCTGCAATGTCACATCGCAGAGATGTGAATGGAGCCTTAGCAAGCATTTAGCCTTTACAGTGCAGGGGCCCCCTGTGCAAGGCTTTTTTTTCCCATCCCAGATTTGGGCTTTATGTGCAGTTTTAACTAAAAGAATACCTGGTGATCCTACCATATAGGTCTTCGTTGAGGTGCTTTTTGTTATAGAGCGACAACACTCTATCCCTGCCTCCCAACTGTGCTCCTGCACTGTCACGCGAGTGTCCGATGGAGACTACAGGTGTCCGCTTCAACGCACTTTATGTAGGTATGGTCCACTATTGTCACCACGAGGAAACCCGACCTGAGGAATGCCATGCAGCTATCGCTGAAGTGCACGCATGTAGACAGGAAGTGGCTGTAAACAGGCTGCAGGTGAGTAGAAGTGCAAAGGACAAATAAAAGAGGAAAATAAGTAGTTTGATAAAAGAAAGTTGAATTTTGTTTATGATACATCTTGCGTTAGCAAACTAAATCTCATTCGGATACTACTGTGTGTAAAAGCATAATACAAATATTTTCTATATTCTGTTCTGAAATAGGGTTTTTGAAAAGGAAAAGCACATTAGTAAGGCCAATGTTCCAGATCTCTCTCAGAGATGTGTGTGGGCGATCAGACAATACAATACTTGGTGTATGACAGCTATGACAGTTCATCGAGGGGACCCCAGAACCAATGCCCATTAAATAAACCCTGTCCTGGACATAGGGACATCATTTGAAGGGATAGTACCTGGATTACAACAATCAGCTAACTGATAACAACACTGCAGTACATTGCTTTCCATCTCAAATCACAGAAATTGCCTTTAGATTGGCTTGGGTGAGTACAAATGACAGCACTGACACGGCCACAGCATCAATTCACGTCCACAAAAGGGTGAATGGACTGGGCCTGTCAGGCTGCTCACACGGGGTGACAGCTGAAGATGCACACAGACCCCCCATTGCTGCACCTGACCATCCCAGGAAAGGCCGGGTCTGATACTGGGCTCCGGACAGCCAGCCCCCTGTCACTACCAGGCCCTACACCGAGCCTGCGCTCTGGACTGATGGCTCCCCCCGACACCCCAGGCCTCAGCACATCGGCTTCCCTGCACCTCCCTGTCGCTTTCCTCTCCTCCTCCAGTCCATTTCATCTCCCTTCCCGGCCAGAGGCAGACAAAAGCTGCGGAGGCCGCCCGGGCCTGTCCCTCCTCCGGGCCTCCGAGGCTCCATTCTCCTCCTCCCCGGCCTTTCCCGATAGAGAAAAGAGTCAGGGATACCGGGGAAGGGGATTCCGGGTGACGGGTCACACAAATAAAAACACTCACCGCATGAATTTTCTTGTCTCGCAGAAGCAAGATGGCTGTGTTTCCAACCCGGAGGATGCTGGGTGGGTGACCTTTCCCCTTTGACCCTCCGCCGTAACCCCCTTCTCCTCCCTCCCTGACAACGGCAGCTGGTAACCAGGAAGCGGCTAAGGGGGGGGCCTAGAGGCCTGCTTGTACGGGCAGAGCGCCTCCTCCTCTCCGGTGCTCGGGGATTCCCCCTCCTCTGTGTGTGAGCGCGCCGAGGGGAGAAGGAGGAGGAAGGGGAGGAAGCTGCGGCGGCTGCTGTTTTGGCGGCTTCATTCACATCCCAGGCCGGAGGGAGGAAACTCAGTTCGGTGTGTGTGACAAGATGTCATGTACAAGCAGGCGCTTTCTTCTTCCCCTCACACTGCCGGGACCAGGCCTGCTGCCTTCCCATTCTGCTACCTCTCACAAACTTCACCTGTTTACTAATGATACATGGCTGCAAGGAACACTGCTTCTCAAATGAAACATTTCCATACCTTAAAAAAGTTATAATAGGAGCTCAGCAGGGTCTGCTTCCATTTTCATCCCCAACTTCCTGAGTGATCTGCTAAGCAGGAAGTATCCTGTGCAAAGGCAAATGTTCCCCCCTCTAGGATAGCAACAACTTCCATCCTATGTATTCCAAAGTGAATTTAAGGTTCAAAGTTAATTTAAAAATGTAAGGCTCTTTAACACAGGTGGCATCTGTTCCGATTAACAGGGGATCTGTGAACAGGTCCCCCTGCTGAATCAGAGCAAAGCAGAAGAGATGTCACTTTTGTGACATCCTTTTCTGTTCAGTTTTTTCCCCCATCTTGTGGGGGGAAAAAACAGCTTAATAGACCCATGTTAGATCTGTCCTTCACATTTAGTCCCCATTCAAACCTTGGCTTATTGTGAACATGCGTCAAATGCACATAAAAGTGCGTGCTTTGACGAGCATTCGCAGAACGTGCTTGTGGTGCCATTACTACTTAATGTGGCCAAGCACGGTTTTTTTTTCCTGTGGGTACAAACGCGCAGCATATCTCAAAATGTGCTACATGCACTACTTTGCCTTGTTTGAAGCACATCCAGGAGCCTATTGAAATCAATGGGGACATGCAGGAAGGTGCCTCGCCACAATGCACTTTCGTGCTACGCTCAGGTGTGAATGGGGGCTTACATCTGGGGAAAAAAGAACAGAAAACGACACAAACCTTTTTAATGTTTCTATTCGGGCCTAGACACTCTTGGATGTAAACAAACACACTGGCAGGCCATTATGAGTGAAACTGCCATGAGAAAGGGACCTAATATGTTCCAGCATACCTCCCAATTTTACAGACCTCTATAAAGAGGGACAGCCTGGAGAAGGGATAAGGTGGTGCGCAATGAAAAGTGTATTACATAGCGCTGAATATTAGGTACGGCTTAATGGGGTATGGTTTCTGGCTGAGTATGTTCACTTTGGCAGACAAATTGGCATAACACCTATTTTATATTTGTTACATGTTCCCATTCACATTACATAACTGCTTACATTTGTAAAGTGTATTATCAATGTCGCAGCCCAATTGGCATAACACCTAGTCTATATTTGTTTCTGCATTCAGATGTTAACGAAGTTAATGAGAGAAACACATTTCTCAAATTTCAGTGCTAAGTCTTTCTATAAGGACAGGTCACTGTGAAGGTGCTCAGAAAAGTCTTCAATCAGCCATTTTGCCTGCTGCAACAAAACATCTAAAGGGCAAGAAATTATTTTTTCATTATTATTTTTCACTATGCTGTGTGACTAGATTCACATAACAAACGTATAGAGGGGTTTTCTCAAATTTGACTGCAAAAGTGGAAATACACTTTAAGTTTTACTTGCTTCAAAATTACGGAAGCACCGATAACGGTTTTTCGGTATCGAGTACGAGTACCGATTTTTTTTATTCAGTACTTGCCGATACCGAATACCATTAAAGAAGCCGGGCGGCGTGTAATGACTTCCTGATTTGCTGGGAACCCAGGCAGCGTGTAATGACTTGCCCCCGCGGCTTCCTGATTAGCTATGGAGCCGACTTTCTGGCCAATCAGGAATCCATGGGGCAGGTGATGACACGCCTCCCAACTTCCTAATTGGGCAGCTTCCTGACCAATCAGGAAGCCGGATGGCGAGTCATTACAGGCCACCGAGCTTCCTAATTGGCCTTGAAGCCGGCTCCATGCTCCCTAGTCACCATCTGTATGACTTGTCAACGGTGTCCTAGAATGTCCAGGCGGATTATCTGTCAAGGCCATGGCTGGGCAGCAATGAATGTACCCTACTTCCAGAGGCGTACATGAGCATTATACACTGGCGGATCAGACCAGATCTGGACCTGTTCACCTCACCAGCCAATCGAAAACTTCTGAAGTTTGACTACAGTTTTCCATTCTCCAGGTCGATGGGAACTGATGCTCTGGCATGCAACTGAAAGGGGTGCCTTTGCACCATGAGTACCACTCATCCTTACATTTCTGACAAGGCTATTGAGGGAGAGGATTTGAGTTCCGGCAGTGATCTCATACTAGGCCAAATATCCTTGCTTTCGACTTTAGCTACAGCTCAACACGCAAGATCCTCTATCCCTATCAATGATTGCAAACCTATTGTCACAAGGTTCAGTTGTTTGTCCATCTCTCTTTCATTTATGCCTTAATGCTTGGCTGCTGAAAGGAGAAGACTAGTCCACCTTTGGTGTTAATCAAAAGTCATATAACCGCTGGTAAAATCCTAGAAACCTAGTACCAGCTTTATGTACAATTGTATGTGGACAAGATTCCAACAAATTGCCATTTCATCTGGTTTACTACCAAGGAATCCACAATGATCGCAGCATTCAAGTCCAGTAGGCCTCTCATGGGTTAATAACTTGACTCTTTAACCACATGAGTACCAGCTTGTATATACCCCATCATTACTAGGCCATTGTTTCGTTTTCAGTGATATGATAGTTTGACTATTAATTATTCCGTCATGCAACACTACCCAAATTAACTTGATTTTTGTTGTTTTTTTGAGGCACATAGAGCTTTCTTTTGGTGATATTTAGAGGAGAACTATGGGGTAAAGGCTTGTCCCCATAGTTCTCCTTAGGGTAACGGGAGGACATAAACTAGCGTCCTCCCGTTACCCTAAGCTCAGTATACTGCGAGCTACAGCTCACGGTATACTGAAACGCCACAGTATACCGCGAGCTACTGCTCGCGGTATACTGAGACGCCGCAATTATGTCTGGATCCTCCCAGCTTCCTGAGTGACAGCTGGCTCTGCCTATCTAGAGGCAGAGCCCTTTGTACCCGCCCCTCCCCCATCCGATCCGCCAGTCAACGCTGGCGGAGGGGGGAATCCAGCCCCTCCCCTGTCAGGGCAGAGAGCTGTGACAGGATCGAGAGGCGAGCGAACGCCGGTATGTGTTCGCTCACCTCCCGATCTACTGAGCCGACCTGTGACAGTCTCATTGTCACAGGTCGTCTAGAACTATGAGGTGAGTGGAAAGCACCCACCTCATAGTTCTCCTTTAATACCTGATGGGATTTTTATTTCTCACTATAGAAAGGAAAAGCTACCAACATTTAACAACAAAAAAAAACTCTTTAAAAAAAAAAATGCCAGGACGCACACTCGAAATTATGCCTTTTTGGAAAATAGACACCCCAAGGTGATCTCATTTTGTGCCACAAATATTTGGAAAAAAAAAAAAACATGGTTTTGAGAGGGTTAAAACACAGAGGTTATTATTGGTGAACAGCATATCAGGCCACACACAGAGGGATCAGGAGGTAAAGGGGTTAATGTACAGGCCACCAACAGTGACGGGATAGAGACGAAGGGGTTAAATGAGCAGGATAAGGGAGATAAAGAGTTACTATATAGGTCTCAATACAGAAGCAGGCTAGAGATCAGTAGTTTAGGAGATGAGGTTGCATTGAAAGGGTTAAAAAAAGATCTGAGTAGCTGAGAATCAATGCTGCTGATGAGTCATTCATTGAGACTTCCAGTCACAGTTTAAAGGTGTCCATACACCTTACAACCATCACACAAAATTTTTCGTGCGATGATCGAACTGTCGTACGATTTTCATATTACTGCCCCATGATGCACAGACCATTGAGGATATCAATTAGCATTCGTTAACAATATCATCTGGCCGAATGTCATCAATTGACAGAATGGATTTTCCTTTGCGCATGAACAACGTTCTTGGTGCAATTTTTTCCTTACGAAAACGCCACTAATCCATCGAATTTCGTACGATTCGACAGAAGTTTTCTAGCCTGCTGGAAAGACAAAAGTCGAACGGTTGTACAGTAAATGCAGTTGTGCACTACCCATCAACTGTGCAATTTTCGTACGAAAAGGCAATTGCAAACGAAAATTGGGCAATAATCGTTAGGTCTATGGGCACCTTACGTATACTGTGACCTCTCTCCTTTCTCTTTTGTAAGAGGAAGGAGAGAGATCATGCATGTAAATGGTAAAATTGTGACAGCAATCACATATTACTGAGCCAGGCAGATTGGCTCTGCAGTGTCTCTCTCTTCTGAGCTGTCGGAGGACACATCAGTACACAGAGAGGAGCGGGTGCAGCGGTGCCCAGCAGCCATTTTTAAAATGATATCTATAGACATCACTAGAGAGGGTGGACATCCATCTCCCTGCATTTTTTTACAATAAAACAGTAGGGAGGTGGTTAAGGTCATCATTCATCTGAAGCCCTGTAGTAAATTATTATTTTCAAAATGGGACTTCCCTTTGGTGCTTGATTTCCAGGCCGCAGAGTAGTTCAACATACATCATTCCTGTTCAGCTGGGCTTCTTTCCCTGAAAGCTGGTTTCCTAGTAGCTGTCATATCTGCAAGAAGAGTTTTAGAGATAGCAGCATTGGAAACAAAAGAACCACTCATCTCTTTGCAGGCATAGTTTGTGCTAAACTCAATGTTAGATTTCACCCCTAAGGCCCGGTTCACACCTGGGCGTTTTGTAGCGTGTTCTTACGCTCTGCAAAACGCTCAAACACCAAAATCCCATTATTTCCTATGGGTATGGTTCACACCTGGGCGTATTACAGGCCGTATGAACGCGCTCCAAAACGGTCTACGCCAGAAAAAGTACAGGAGCTTCTTTGGGGCGTATTGGGCCGTTTTGTAGCGCATTCGCGGCCATAGACGTCAACGTGAACGGGCTGAAATGAGTATTTGCGCGCTTTCGGCATCAAAAGCGCGCCTATAACGCGTGTTCCGCACATGGCTACAGACCACACCCTGGGGCTGCAGACACAGTTTTCGGCCGACCAAGAAGCAGCTAAGATGGAGGAACCAGCAGCATGTGGCCTGATCGATACATAGGCGTTCATACGCCTGGAGAAGGCAAAG